TCCAATATTTTGGATATTTTAACAAATGATGCTTAATATCAATAAAAATTTGTGATAATCTGATCAAAAGATGCTTGGCAACAATAAAATCTGTGATAAACTGATCAGTTGTCAGTGTTTTTTTTAAAGTGCTCTGTTTATTGGATATTGATAATCAGTAGAGTGAGAATTATTCAAAAAAAATATTTCAACATTGCAATGTATTATTTACTATCAAAGAAAACAGCAAATGTTATGATTTGAGTTTGTTTGTGTAGGAGGTTGCAAGTTACCTATAGCTGTCATCTGGAAAACAACATATTCTCATACAAGACTCCTCCTTACCATCAATGTCAGATGCAGATTACTCCTTATTACAATGGGTTTCTGGAATGGGTTGTTGTTAGCACAATATATGACAATGTCCTAAATCTTGCCACATGTCATGTATTGTACACATGGATAAGACAGTGCTGCTCTTGCTGCTGTCTTTCACTGCCTGCTTTTTCATGGAAAGGCTACTCTTAAAAAGAACAATATAACTGAGAAAATTGAAAATTACATTGAAAAGACTGGCAAATTGCATGACTTAAAATAGTTATACATTAATAATTTTGTCAAATCTGGTCTAATGCTTCAGAAATGTGTACAAATTAAGCTTTACACTACAGCACTACTGATTCAAAATTTCACTGAAATATTAAAAGATCCACAATACAATGTGATCTACGGAAGAGCATTTAATAAATGAATATTATGTTGTTACTTGACCATTTTGAAAATTAATCTGGAGTCAATAATGTGTTCCATTGTGGCAGTATAGTCCTGTGCTTCCTAGTACAGTGTAGTAGTCTGGAGTCATTGTATTCCATTGTGGCAGTATAGTCCTATGCCTCCTAGTACAGTGTAGTAGTCTGGAGTCATTGTGTTCCATTTTGGCAGTAAAGTCCTGTGCCTCCTAGTACAGTGTAGTAGTCATGAGTCATTGTGTTCCATTGTGGCAGTAAAGTCCTGTGCCTCTTAGTACAGTGTAGTAGTCTGGAGTCATTGTGTTCCATTGTGGCAGTATAGTTCTGTGTCTCCTAGTACAGTGTAGTAGTCTGGAGTCATTGTGTTCCATTGTGGCAGTATAGTCCTGTGTCTCCTAGTACAGTGTAGTCTGGAGTCATTGTATTACATTGTGGCAGTACAGTCCTGTCTCTTAGTACAGTGTAGTAGACTAAAGTCAGATGATGGACTGGAAGAGATAAAAAACTCAGTGGTCAGGAATTTTCCACAAAAAGTTCCAGAGTCTGAGAGTATTGACAATTTATTACTTTCGTTCAACAACAACAAAAAAAATGTGAATGAATGTGTAAAAAAAATTATCTTACAAAATAAAGTGTTGTTGTTGGTTACAGCCGAGGCATACACTACTATACTAGTGCTGGTAATACAGAAGACTGGTGATTTCCTGTCGTCACTGAAACTCGGGATGGTAGTGCTAATACATGTTAGTGATGGCAGAAACTAAAAGACAGAAAACCAGAACAACAGAACAGACTCAAATGCGGAATACAGTAAAAAGTGGAACGTGTATCAAATACTTTGTGGAACAAGGGAATATTATTTATGTGATGCTAAAAGAAAAACAAGACAAATATAAATATATTGAGTTATTACTATTATTATTGTTGTCTGCTTTTTGTGCACTTTGTACAATACATGTCATCTTGTTTTAAGGCGGTGTCTGTTGCGCCTTTACATAGAGGATGATATTCTTTATTGCAACCGTCATAAATGACATACAGGGTGTGTGTATCTGGCAGCTGGCATTCACAGTAGAAATTGACTACGACTGAGTTTTTTTCACAAGATTTTTAATTTTATGCCTGCTTGTAATAGGAAAAAGCAATAGATGACGTCTTTTTTAACAAAAAAAAATAAATGTGAACTAAGTTTTTTGTGGTCATACTTCATGGTTGTTGGATCTTTGCCGTTCACCAATGTAACATTATTCGCTATGACGTACAAACCGCAATTGTAGTTTACTAGTTGTTATTTTGTTGGGTTACTGCAATATGTTAATTTGTAGAGTTCTTGACGATGCCATGGTGCTATCAATGTTGCAATGCACATTTGTTCCATGGTTGGAATGTCACTGAAAGAAGAATCGCATATATTCAGCGTATATGGGACATACCCCTATGTTTGAAACTGTGAGCCAATGTGTTCCGCGGTCTGGTGTTCGGTTTATTATTTGGATAAATCTATTTTTGTGACACTTGAAATCTAACTGTACTGCCAATGAACATGACTAGAGTCCTTCTGGAAGAGGGAATTGGTGCTTAATGTTATATCATGACAAGCATCGATTATCGTTCCATTCAGCCAACCACATGGGTCAGTGATTATATCGCGGTCTCTGATGTTCAAATTTTCATTAATAATATTCCTATCAGCCGGGATTGACACTTCTCCGCTGCAGCTGATGTCCCTGATGTCCCATCGATTAAAGTGAGTAAAGTGTTCCATTCCGTGGCCGTTGTCTGTTTGTTCCCTTCCATAGCTGCTGTCAGAGTATTCCGTGTCCCGAGTGGAGTGTTCTGTTCCGCACAATCGGTGGGGGCTTCTTTCCACCCTTGTATGTCACGAAGCAGCCACTTAAACTCTTCTTACTGATTGGTTCTTATTCTGATATCATCGACAAAATATTTCATAATACTGGGGGCCATTTTTGTTCGCAACATTGTAGTATGATAGAATAGTTGTCTTCAGTCTGGGAGCGCAAAAGAGCATATAGGTCGTTGATGATTATGTTCCGGGTATTTACAGGAACCCCGTCGGCGATCATTTTGCGTTGGAACTCTTCAGATGACTCAAGAAGAACAATAGGAAATTGTATTTATAAAAGAAGACACAACGTCAGTTGTGCTCTGATTTATAATCATCTCACCTGCCATCGCAAAATGTTGCATCATTACAGATGAAAAAGTTAAAGTGGATGACGGCATTCAATCTCGTCTGTTTTCCAAAAGCACTTATTATCTGCAGCCAAGTCTATATATCATGCTATCGTCACATTGTGACAAGCACATTGCATCGTGATGTGAACAGTGAACAACTGACACAGTCGATATCACCTACGTATCCTTCATTTCAAATGTTTTATCCTGATGACGTTTTGCAATCATGGCAGAATTACCATTTAAGAATGCCCTGACTGAAGATGACACCCAGTGTACAGAAAGTTGGATGAAATTTTCGGTTTTTCATCATCACCTTTCGCTGACGCCATGTTAACATTGAGTATAGATGGCGCTGTGCAAGAGGTGAGACTTGTGGTTTGCACCATAGACCCCAACCGATATCAGTCAGAGGTTAATCGCCTGCTTCCTAAAAAAACCGTGCAAGGATGGGGGCATAAGCATCTTACACAGGATAACCAGGCTCTAGTTGTGTGTGATATAGTGTGATTTGTAAAGCAGAGAGAGTCACGTCGAGACCGTCAAAATAGCGCCATTCCTATTGGTTTAAAGTTAAGGGACAATACAGGAGCTGTCCAATCAAATTTCTTTATACAGTAATTATTCCTGTTTATTGTTTTAGTAAACAAAGCAAAGATATAATTTTGCACAGTAGCTGGTAAGTTAAATTTTTGTTCAAAATTGACCATGAAAGTTTGTATCCAAGTTTTTTTATATGATAAATTTATTCTAAATGAAATTTTGGAGAATTTCCTGTTACACAACGTCAATTTTTTGCTGATAATCCCAATATAATGGAGTGTATCACTACAAAAGAAAGATGCAACTGAAATCTGTTATTGGAACATGTTAAAGTATGATTTGATTTATTTATTGCAGATGTCAGTTAATATGGAAATTGAAAATAACAAAGAAGAGCAGTGTGCTCGTAAGTTGTGTGTGCTGTATGTGTGCGTGCATGCACGAGAAGTTATTCATATATATTATCAGGCTGTACACTGTATGAGTCATAGACTGAGTTCCCATACCTAGATCGATCTAACAGGGCCGATCCATCTCCAAGGGGTTTCTCCCAAAATTGCTTTCATCTTAAGCGTCTTAGATGTCTGCCACTCCTACTGAAGGTGCTAAATGATCATTAATATCCCCCTAGCAGCTTCTGGCACACATCTAAGCTGCTTAAGTTGATTGCAATTTAGGGAGAAACCTCTTGGAGATGGATTGATCCTATATAAGATAGATCTAGGTATGGGGACCAAGTCTAATACATGTTCTACCAAATCAATACATTGTCCTAAACTGCTTTTGCATACTTTTCAATGTTCTTATATAAATGAAAAAGAAATTGACTTACTTATTCATAATAAGAATGCAATATATCCCTTTTTTATATTTAGTGAGTGATTTGAATGTCTGCAATTACAACATCAAAAAGATATATTGACAAGATTTCTTTCTATTTTCTGTTTCATTTTGAACAGCCATGGCCACTGTTCGAATAGTCCTAAAAGACAATATCTTAAAAGCCAAAGCAGTGGGCAGAGGAACTGCCCTTGGAACATGGGACACCCAACGTGGTGTAAACCTTGCTAGGTGCACCGAGTTGGGTGTCCCTGTTCTAAGGGCGGAAGTTCTTCTGCCCAAGGCTGCAAATATAGAGTGGAAGTTTGTTAGACCGCAAAACGTAAGTATAATATATTAATTTATTTGTAATGACAAATGAACTGAGATGAAAATAATTTTCCTTTTTATTGAAAAAGAAAATCTAAGTTCAACAAATTTAAGTGTTTTTTTTTTTAGCTTCATTCATTTCTTGTAGATTACAATGTATTTGATTAGTCAAATTTTAAATATATGCATCTTTTCATTTGAATTTTCTTTTTCATTTCAGACATCAACTTATCTTCAATTTATTTATTTATTTATTTATTTATTTATTTATTTAGTTAGCCTTACCACCCTGGGTCTGGCTGGATATGGGAGCCTGAACCCTTTAGGAACAGGTGCCTCCAGGTGACCACCAAGGACAGCATGGAAGTGACCTGTACATGGGGAGAACTGGACATGGAAATAAAAGGTCTTGTAATTCTATTAAATCTAACTAATGGAAAGAAAGGCGAATTAACATTATTATTCTATAAAATGTAAGATATGGAAAGAAATGGCCCTTTAATTCTATCAAATTAAATTTAGACTATTTCATTCTCAATGTCTATATCATAATTTGTGAATAACAAAAAATGTATGCATCTTATTCCAGAGTCTAACTACACATATGAACCTGAAGTCCACACCAGTGATAAGCAAATTGCAGGTAATAATTCAGTTGATTTTAGCAATTTACTTGGTGTGTTTGTTCATTCTCACTATTTGCAAGGAATCTTGAAGTAAAAGTATCATTGTTTTTTACTACAAACACCTTAACTCTCAGGGTGCAAGTCTTGACCCTTGAAGCTGTTGATTACCAGGGACCATTCACAATGAATTTGGTCAATTTTGTCTACCTAGCTAATGTGCACAAACTCCATGGAAACTTCAGAATGCAATCAGATTAATAAAAAAATATAACTGACTAACACATCCCCTCTTGTTTCTTACTTACCTGTATTATTACATTACTACTGCCGTAACGTAACGTGTTAAGCTTAGATTCAATATAAATTGTATTCCCTTTCATTTTAATTATTCTGTTTCAGTTGATACCAAGTATGATAACAGAGTAAAGGCTCCTAACACTGAAGAGACAGGTAAGACAGGAATCTCAGTAAAATATTTATTATTTAAATACACATATGAAATGTACACATGTGCACACTTGCACACACACACACTCTTTATTTTCAGAAAAATCCATGCTTTTAACTGTGTAAAGATTGAACATGATTTGCACTCCTTTAAATTTGCTTCTGTTCTTTCAGTTGATACCAAAGACAAGAAATATGCAACAGTTTTAACAGTTGTTAAAAGTATTGAGGAGATAGGTGAGACCAGAAACTCAGTAATGCACGTGTCCACATGCACTAACATGCACTCTCACACAGTACACACACACACCACGTTGCTTATCCAAAGTCTTGTCTTTAGCATACTTAAGAAGATCCAAATTTATTTTAAGTGAATTGTATTTGAATGTGTTTTCACCAATGTAATTCCGTATTTGTGCCCGAATTCCGTTTGAACATGGATTTTGTTTCATTTGGTTTCAATTCCATATTTTTTGCTTTAGCCGACATTAAAGATGCAAACAGTGTGTCACTTGCTGAGGATATCAAGAAAAGAGGTAAGAAAGTTAGGTCCATTTAAACACACCCAAAAAGTTTACACACACACACACACACACACACACAGAAGCAGGCTCTCATACACAATCATTGTGTTAATTCACTGTTAGGTGATCTTATTCTTTATTGTATTTTTGTCTGTGTATGATATCCTTGTTGTGCTCATGGACAGAATTATTTTGTTTTCCATTTTTTTCTTCAGTTAATGTCAAAGACACAAAAATTGTGATAGAGGACGTGAAGGAGAGAGGTAAGACGGGAGGGTCTATATAATACATGTAGGTATCTATTTATTACAGTGTTAAATACACACACATACACACACATACACTCCTTGTTGTGCAAACAGTATTTGTACTTTTGACAAGTATTAATTGAAATTCAAAATTTGATTATTCTTAACAGTGGTAAATGTGTTTCAATGTTGATTTATTTATGAAATAAGATGGTACACAGACTGTATATTGAAGGTTATGTTATTGCATTTTACAGAGTAATATTGTGTCATAAAAACGATAGAGTCTGAGGACAATTTTTAAAAAGATTTAAAAACTTATATCTTCAAAAAGTTTTGTAATTGATATGACTGTTATCTTTTCAATATAATTGATTTGACTGTTATCTTTTGAATTGTACAATTTATTTTTAATATCATAAATCTTAATTGTCCATCAATTCAATTAATTTTTAGAACACATCTTAATATCTTTTTATTTTAACTACCTTTTAATTTACTTTATTCATCTTATTTTGTTCATTTTACCCATGTTAAGTCTACTGAATATTTAATATGGATTTTAGACTATAAATAAATATTATTATTATATCTTTCAGCACCCAAGGATCGCCGCCTTTCTCGATGGAGAAGATTGTTAAATCTTTTTACATCCTGCTTTAGACACAGGTCAAGAGCATAAATGGTAATTATTATTATTACTATTATTAAATAAAAACTATTACTTCAAACATTCAGAAATTAGGAAAATTTGACATCATTTTTAAAAGAACAGATTAATTTTACTGTCATATGAAAGTTATTTTGTTTGCTTCCTTCTTTGGATGGCATCATAACTAAAATGAAGTTTTTAAGAGGCAAACTATGTCAAGTAGCTGGTTAAAATTGTATTTGAAGCCAGTTATTATATAATAGCAGCCAAGAGCTGGTGGTTGTTGGATTGCTGCCTTTTAATAACTAATACATTTTAACTGAATTATATTTAAATGTTTTTATCTTCTTATTTTTCAGGGAGGACAGTGCAGAACTACTAGAGTATTTTTACCTCTGTGGCAGTCAATTAAAAAAAAAACTTCAGTATATCATTGATTCTCTTTGTTTTACAATAAAAATGCAATATTCTGCAATCAGATGAGTTTTGTTTTTCCTTCATTTCTTCATTAAAAAGTTTGAATTAGCAGTATAATGGCCATTCTTATCTTAAGGCATTTGGAACAACAGGCAAGGAGCCAGCAGTTCCAAAGGGTTTATTTTTTTTACTGAAAAGTCGACTTTTTTTACCCCAGTAGTTGACCAAACTTGAGAAAGAGCCTAGATTAAATTCTGCTTAAGAGTGGACCTCTTCCAGCAAAAATACAATGCTTTGAACCCAGGAATCCCTCAACCACAATGTTAAAAACCGTTTATTAACAAACATTTTTCATCCATTTTGTGTCCCTAACATTATAATCTCAGTGCTAGCAAATTTATCTCAAAATGTTTAATCACACTTCTTATTTTATTTCTTTTACACTGTAAAAACATTTAACTATACTCACTCAGATACATGAATGAACAGTGGTATATGCACTTACCCTAACAAACAGCTGAATTACTGATTATTACATTTTTGCTTCTACATTTCAGCATTTTCATGTTTAAATTAAATAGATATGCCAATTCTTTAATTATGCAAGTTTCTTAATCCAAATTGTAATATCAAGGGATGGAATGTCACAGAAGGTGCGCAATACATGTACCAAGCAAATGTTTCCTTGTCTGGACACGGCTAGTTTTCCTGAGAAACAATTGTTGTCAGTTTATATATGATACTTAAAAATGCAAATAAAAATCACCATCTTCAGAAATTATATGGTACTCATAAGGAGCTGCAAGCATGGCCTAGTTTTCTTGCTTTATTCAAGGTGGGTCATAATGCATTCAGAAGAGTTCTAACTGAAAAGTATAAAATAAATTAATAAATAATTTAAAATCCCAGTTGATTTTGGTCTTCTAAAAAAGGAAAATGTTCACATCAGTAATACATCCTAGGTTATTTTGCCCAAGTTTCATGATACTTTGTTAAAGACAAATTTCACAAACCTTTTTACTTTCTAAAACAATTATTCCATACAAATAGTGTGTAAAATGAAATTATTTTATTTGCAGGGTGCTTGTAATATAACCCAGATCTTAATTACCTTTTTTTCCATCTACCTATATACTTCTAGTGGTACAAACTCTGGGGAGCGAAAAAATTTTTTCATAAGTTGATAAATCTCTATAATCTCACCGAGCTCTCACAGACCAATGATGACAGCAAGCACAGCTAGGAAGAGGCTGGAGATGAGAGCTACGTAAGTAGTAACATCCGTACTATAAGTAACAAAAGAATTCCATTTTTTTCTATTGTTATGTTACGTCATTTGAACAATGGAAAACCTATAGCGAACAATGGGGGATGTTTACAAAATAAACAAACAATTTTTTAAGTAAACAAACAAGACTCCCTATTTTTGTTTACGTTTTACTATGGTAACGGATGACGTCACAGAACGGGCCTGGGCATGTCGGGGTAATGTTTACGTTTCACTATGGTAACGGATGACGTCACAGAACGGGCCTGGGCTTGATATTAAAACAGTAGGAGATTTTAAAGAATTACTAAGGATAAAGGGCACAATATAGTGACAAACAAGTATAGTTGTAAATAAAAACATGATTTTATTAAAATCTTCCAGCATTGTAAGAAGTTGATTATAGTGATTTAACAGTTGTATGTACACATTAAAACAATGGACATAAATGTCTATTTTACTGAAAGATAATAATTATGATACATAATTGCATTACAAGTTGATTATGGTGAATTATCAGTTGTATATACAGATTAAAACACCAAAACAATGTATGTACAACAAAATGAAAGATGATAATTATATAAACAACACTACTCAGCAGTTTATGAAATTTAATAGCCGTATGGTAGTGTATCAAATGAGTCTTGCTGAATGACACGTTTAGTGTACACAACCCGGTAAACTTTATCCTCCCTTTTAGAGAACAGTTCTTTATTCAGAGTGTCTCTCACAATTTTATGGTGTGTAGTGGTTGACACCTCTTTCGGACCTATACCGTGTACCATGTTACGCAAAGTCTCATAGTTCACTATTTGGGAGGTTTCATAATTCAGTGAAATACCTGTTGATCTTGGTCCCAGTTTTGTATGGACCAGACTGTGTGTATGTGGAACAACGCAACATTCACATGTTCAATAAACACTGAACTTTATTCAATACCTAACCATTATACTAATGCATCATGGGAACGGAACACAATGTCAGAGGTCACGGTCTCAACTAACACAATCATCAACATCCCCCCTTCTTTATAAAAGAAAAATATGCTCTACAAAGGACAAAGTGAGCTAAGAGGAGATATAACAAGTTCACAATACAAATACTGTTGCCCAATCAAAATATGATCTGTCTGGTGCTCAGATCTAGATCCATACTGATCAAAGTCAATGTATGTGTAACCAGTCTTTGACTGTCATGTATGGCAATGCATTTCCTTGCATTTAATACAACTCCAGAATAAACAGTTCTCCATTCCACAATAGAAAAGTCTATGAATATAATAAAGTTTTTGCAAACAATCTGCCAGTGTTCCTTTTCAGTCGTTGAACACGTAAACATACATTAAACTTTAAGTAACATTGTCCTTTAAAGATTCAAATATCAAACATTTGAATGTAAGTAAACAAGAAAATCACAACTGTTCTGATAATGTCAATGAAAACAATGCACAAATTTGCATACAAGAACAAGGAAATCCAGTGATTCCTGAAACAAATTACAGTCCATGTAAACAGTCCTTAGAAAATGTCTTATCATGTTTATAGCAATTTCACTTGTAAACTACATAGTGATTCCTGAAACAAATTACAGTCCATGTAAACAGTCCTTAGAAAATGTATCATGTTTACAGCAATTTCACTTGTAAACTACATAGTCCTTAAGATAATTGGGCTTTCTGCACTCACGTTTTGGTCTTATTGTTTGTGGAATTTCATTTCCAGTCTTAATAGAATCTGCAGATTCCACAGTTTTTGTTTCAGTCAGTTCATTAGCATTAGCAGCACTGTGATAATTCTCACACTGTTTTGTAACATTGTCACTTGGAGTATACATAGGATTCTGACAGTCCTGTAGTTTTCCACCAGTTGGTAATTCACTGTTAGTCATACGTGCTGGAGATTTATCACGAATGTAGGGTTCAATTTTCGTTGGACGTATGTGTATCCTATTCCTTCTATAGGTAGCTCCATCCTGGGCTTTGACCTGGTAACTATGTTCATCACATGTGTCCAATACTTTTCCTAAAATCCATTGTTGATTTTGTTTTTGTTCAAAGTATACATTTTGACCTATTTTGAGCTTAGGCAGGTCACGCGCACTCTTATCATGGTATTTCTTCACAGATTTGTTTCTTTTGTTGATCTTTTCTAACACCTGAGGATCCTTGCTTTTCTTAGCAAGTGACGGNAAAATTTTTGTTTTAATTAAGAATAAATTAATAATGGTATAAAGCAGATTTTTAATGAATGAAAACGAATAGTAAATTTTTTAAACCATTGAGTTTGTTTAAACAATGGTCTCTAGCTCTGTTGCGCGCAAAGGTTTGTGGGTAATATGAGAGTCCAACTTGCCCCGAGTCAAGGGGGCCAACTAGCCCCGGATGCACATTTTTTATTTTGAAGGATGGTAGCCATTTATGGTGCTAGAATGAGCAACGATGATACATCTCTGTGAAACTTGAATCAATGAGCTTCAGTTTGATGCCCTATACATATATTATATTCGATCAAAAGCCTATGAAAATAGATTTTTAAATTACTTTTAGGTGCAAAAATCGTTTATTTCGACTCGCCGCTTTAGTAAAACTATTTGACGTCCTACACTTCTTTAGCATTGTAGGCTACGGTCACTTTACAAGAGTACCGTGGCCAATTATTTTTTTTACCTCGTAGTTACTTTTTCATAAATTGACGGGGGGCCAACTTACCCCGGGGTCCAACTAGCCCCGGTCTCCCCTAAGTCGTCTCAGTGACTCCGTAATAGTTGCAAAATTGTTTATAAATCTCAACGAATATTGCGCCATGCCTAACAATGAACAAAGTTCAGACACATTTGTTGGTTTTTCCATTTCGACCTGTGATTTCACTTTACCTGGGTAAAGTGAAATCACTGGTCTTTCAGCGGAAAATACATGTCCATAGAACGAAATTTCTCTGCAATTAAACTTGACTTTTTAGCGTTTACAGTTAATCCTTTCTCACTCATGTTGATCTCGGTCCAAGTTTTGTATGGACCAGACTGTGTGTATGTGGAACAACACAATATTCACATGTTCAATAAACACTGAACTTTATTCAACACCTAACCATTATACTAATGCATCATGGGAACGGAACACAATGTCAGAGGTCACAGTCTCAAGTAACACAATCATCAACATCCCCCCTTCTTTATAAAAGAAAAATATGCTCTACAAAGACAAAGTGAGCTAAGAGGAGATATAACAAGTTCACAATACAAATACTGTTTCCCAATAAAATATGATCTGTCTGGTGCTCAGATCTAGATCCATACTGATCAAAGTCAATGCAAGTGTAACCAGTCTTTGACAGTCATTTATGGCAATGCATTTCCTTGCATTTAATACAATTCCAGAATAAACAGTTCTCCATTCCACAATAGAAAAGTCTATGAATATCATAGTTTTTTGCAAACAATCTGCCAGTGTTCCTTTTCAGTCGTTGAACACGTAAACATACATTAAACTTTAAGTAACATTGTCCTTTAAAGATTCAAATATCAAACATTTGAATGTAAGTGAACAAGAAAATCACAACTGTTCTGATAATGTCAATGAAAACAATGCACAAATTTGCATACAAGAACAAGGAAATCCAGTGATTCCTGAAACAAATTACAGTCCATGTAAACAGTCCTTAGAAAATGTCTTATCATGTTTACAGCAATTTCACTTGTAAACTACATAGTCCTTAAGATAATTGGGCTTTCTGCACTCACGTTTTGGTCTTATGATTTGTGGAATTTCATTTCCAGTCTTAATAGAATCTGCAGTTTCCACAGTTTTTGTTTCAGTCAGTTCATTAGCATTCGCAGCACTGTGATAATTCTCACACTGTTTTGTAACATTGTCACTTGGAGTATACATAGGATTCTGACAGTCCTGTAGTTTTCCACTAGTTGGAAATTCACTGTTCATCATACGTGATGGAGATTTATCACGAATGTAGGGTTCAATTTTCGTTGGACGAATGTGTATTCTATTCCTTCTATAGGTAGCTCCATCCTGGGCTTTGACCTGGTAACTATGTTCATCACATGTGTCCAATACTTTTCCTAAAATCCATTGTTGATTTTGTTTTTGTTCAAAGTATACATTTTGACCTATTTTGAGCTTAGGCAGGTCACGCGCACTCTTATCATGGTATTTCTTCACAGATTTATTTCTTTTGTTGATCTTTTCTAACACCTGAGGATCCTTGCTTTTCTTAGCAACTGACGGTAAGAATGTACGTCCTGGCTTTCCAAACACCATTTGGTACGGGCTCAGCCCAGTTTCTTGTCTTGGTACATTTCTCAGTTCTAATAGAGCTTCAAACTGATCCTCATTGTTTTTAACGCATTTGTACATAAGGTGTTTTACAGTTTTTACTGCCGATTCAGCCTTTCCGTTTGCTCTTGGGTAGTGTGGGCTTGATTTTATGTGTCTTATACCCCATTTCTTCGTGAATTGGTCAAACACACTTGACGCAAACTGCGGCCCACCATCAGATACTATGGTGATCGGGACACCATATCTCGCAAAATGCTTCTTCAGAATCGCGATAACCACATTGGAAGTAGTAGTGCTCAGATAGTCTACTTCTATAAAGTTGCTGTAATAATCAACTGTCACAAGGTAATTTCTACCTTTGATTTCAAACAAATCTAAACCAACTTTCTGCCATGCACTCGTTCCTTGATCATGCTGATTAAGAAGGTTTTTACTGGTTCTTGCCTTCATTTCTTGACATGCCTCACAGTTATCAGCTAACTGTTTAATCTCAGCATTCATGCTCGGCCAATATACTGTTCCTCTGGCTCTTCTTATCATTGAGTCATAGCCACAGTGTGACTTGTGCAATCTTTTCTTAATATCTGCACGCATTGTTTTAGGAACNCTGATTAAGAAGGTTTTTACTGGTTCTTGGCTTCATTTCTTGACATGCCTCACAGTTATCAGCCAACTGTTTAATCTCAGCATTCATGCTCGGCCAATATACTGTTCCCCTGGCTCTTCTTATCATTGAGTCATAGCCACAGTGTGATTTGTGCAATCTTTTCTTAATATCTGCACGCATTGTTTTAGGAATGACTACAGCTTCCCCTTTAACAATTATGCCTTCATATACAAGCTAAGTGTGTCTCTTATATCATAATATGGCTTACACACATCTGGTGTACTCACTTTTGACTCTGGCCAACCATTTTCAATAAGGTCACTAAGAACTTGCATGTCCTCATCAGCTAAGGTTGCATCACGAATTTCAATCAATCTTGCATCGGAGATGTCTTCATTCACTCTGATGTCCATGATTCTAGGTCGGTGCTCTAGGTCATCCATCAAATGTGCTCTACTTAGACAGTCTGCAATGATGAGTGAGGTTCCCTTTACAAAGTGAAATTCGAAGTCATATCGATATAGTCTCATCATGATGTCTTGTAGACGCTTGGGAGCACTGCTGAGGGGTTTACGTAGGATAGAGTCCAATGGTTTGTGGTCGTTTTCAATTATCACCTTCCGTCCATAGGTATATTGATCAAAACGCTCTAAACCATACAAGATAGCGAGTGCTTCCTTCTCAATCTGGGCCCACTTCCTTTCTGATGCTGTAAGTGATCTCGAGGCATACTCCACTGGCTTGCCTTCTTGTAACAGCACAGCGCCCAATCCATGTTGGCTGCTATCCACTTGGAGTCGAACTTCCTTCTCAGGATTGAAATATGCCAGCAATGGTGCTTTAGTTAGGCTTTCTTTCACTGTGTTGAGTGCCATTTCACATTGCTTAGTCCACTGAAATGGTACGTCTTTTCTAGTAAGCTCTCTGATCGGCTCCATCATGCCTGAGAGGTCTGGTAAGAAGCGCGATAGGTATTGCACCATGCCACACAAACGCTTGACACTGCTCACATCAGTGGGTGATGGCATATCAATTATGGCTTTCACTTTGGCTGCGTCAACTTTTACTCCATCTTTAGAGATTTTATGTCCATGGAAAGTGATCTCCGTTAGGCCCGTTTTCTGTTTCTCTTCATTGAGAACTATGTTTCTTTCAGCACACCTCTGTTTCAGTATGCTCAGCTTCTTTTCATTGTCTGCTTTAGCTTCTGCTTCTGTATCACCCTGTCCCGCGATAATGATATCATCTACAACACAGAATATTCCATCTATGTCACTCAGGGCTTCATCCAATTTCCTCTGAAATATTTCACTCGAGACTTTTAGACCAAACGGCAGTCTGGACCACCTAAACGACCATACGGCGTTATCATTGTCGTGTATTTGCTTGACTCCTCGTCAAGGCGGACATGATAAAACGCCTCTTTAACGTCCAGCTGTGAAAATATTTTTGCATTGTTCAATTCTGGCAGTATGTCATCCAATACTGGCAGTCTGTAGTGCTCTCTCATCAGCGCTGTATTAAGAGGTTGTGGATCAATGCACACTCTAATTTTTCCATTAGGCTTCTGCACAATAGCCATCTGACTAACCCATGGTGTAGGCTCAGTCACTGGTATCAGTATTTGTCGCTCTACTAGAGAATCCAACTCTGCTTTGACACGGTCCTTCAGGGCAATTGGAATCTTGCGACATGGCAATGCTCTGGGTTTCACGTCAGGGTCAAGTGTGAGGGTTGCTTCACCGAGGTCACCGGGTGCATTCTGCTTAGATCCCACTACTTTGGCAATAAACTTGTCTTTATTCACAGTAACAAGACCAAGTTTCTGAATAGCGTTCAGTCCTAGGATAGGCTGTAACTTATTGGAGACAACTACAAAGTGCACCATTTCACTGTCACCAGTCCTTGGGTTGTGTACTAGTAAGTCAGCTTCTCCAAGGGGTTTGAGTGTAGACTCATTAAACATGTGTAAAGTCATAGAGGATGCAAGAGCCTGTGATCTTTTGACATATCTCTGATTGATAATGTTCACATCTGCTCCACTGTCCAATTGGAAATGTACATCACAGTCATTTACAGTCATTTGAGCTGTCAAAATATCAGTTTTTCTGTGCTTATTTACAGAGTTCACAGAATTGAGCCAACTATCTTCTTCTGCACAAGTTTCTTCCCCTGTGACGACACGCACCTTTTTACACACTACTTTGAAATGGTTCCTACCTTTGCAGCCATTGCAGGTTTTCCCCCAAGCTGGACAATCTTCCTTTCTCATATTGTGCTTGGTGTTGCAATATTTACAGAGTTTAACCTGATGTGGCTTACTGTTCTTGGCCTGCAGAGGTTTATCTTGCCTTCGCTTCCGTGGAGGTTTAGTTTGCTGGAGTTTGTTAACACTTGTCTGTGCCTGGGACATTTGCTTTGCTTGATTATTAGCTTGCTGGTAGGAGTGACAGATTTTAATGCATTTCCTGAGATCAAGGTCACCCTCTCTCAATAACAGTTGTTGCAGCTTGCCACTGGTACTGAATACTATTTTGTCCCTTATCATTCGGTCCTCCATTTGGCCAAAATTACATGAAGCTGCTCTGCTTTTCAGCTCAGTTACGTACTGATCAATTGGTTCCACATACGGAGTAGTCCAGAATCTGTGTGATTCTACCACTTCATTTATGAGGGGGTTGCAGTACTCTTCAATCTTTCTCAGAACTTCGTCTGGGTCATTTGGGTCGCTATCACCCCATTCAAAGTGATCATATGCTTTGAGTAGTGATTCACCGCCACAGTTAATAATGGTTGCTACTTGAATTTCTTTCTCCATTTTCTTTATACCACTAGCTAGTAAGTATATTTCAATCTGTCTCTTCCAAGCTTTAAAGTTTTCGGGTACGTTACCGGTTTGCAAGTTAAGCTCTGGCGGGAGACGCAAATTGGTATTNCATTTTCTGTTTCTCTTCATTGAGAACTATGTTTCTTTCAGCACACCTCTGTTTCAGTATGCTCAGCTTCTTTTCATTGTCTGCTTTAGCTTCTGCTTCTGTATCACCCTGTCCCGCGATAATGATATCATCTACAACACAGAATATTCCATCTATGTCACTCAGGGCTTCATCCAATTTCCTCTGAAATATTTCACTCGAGACTTTTAGACCAAACGGCAGTCTGGACCACCTAAAGCGACCATACGGTGTTATCATTGTCGTGAATTTGCTTGACTCCTCGTCCAGGCGGACATGATAAAACGCCTCTTTAACATCTAGTTGTGAAAATATTTTAGCATTGTTCAATTCTGGCAGTATGTCATCTAATACTGGCAGTCTATAGTGCTCTCTCATCAGCGCTGTATTAAGAGGTTGTGGATCAATGCACACTCTAATTTTTTCCATTAGGCTTCTGCACAATAGCCATCTGACTAACCCATGGTGTAGGCTCAGTCACTGGTATCAGTATTTGTCGCTCTACTAGAGAATCCAACTCTGCTTTGACACGGTCCTTCAGGGCAATTGGAATCTTGCGACATGGCAATGCTCTGGGTTTCACATCAGGGTCAAGTGTGAGGGTTGCTTCACCGAGGTCACCAGGTGCATTCTGCTTAGACCCCACTACTTTGGCAATAAACTTGTCTTTATTCACAGTAACAAGACCAAGTTTCTGAATAGCGTTCAGTCCTAGGATAGGCTGTAACTTATTGGAGACAACTACAAAGTGCACCATTTCACTGTCACCAGTCCTTGGGTTGTGTACTAGTAAGTCAGCTTCTCCAAGGGGTTTGAGTGTAGACTCATTAAACATGTGTAAAGTCATAGAGGATGCATGAGCCTGTGATCTTTTGACATATCTCTGATTGATAATGTTCACATCTGCTCCACTGTCCAATTGGAAATGTACCTCACAGTCATTAACAGTCATTTGAGCTGTCAAAATATCAGTTTTTTTGTGTTTATTTACAGAGTTCACAGAATTGAGCCAACTATCTTCTTCTGCACGAGTTTCTTCCCCTGTGACGATACGCACCTTTTTACACACTACTTTGAAATGGTTCCTACCTTTGCAGCCATTGCAGGTTTTCCCCCAAGCTGGACAATCTTCCTTTCTCATATTGTGCTTGGTGTTGCAATATTTACAGAGTTTAACCTGATGTGGCTTACTGTTCTTGGCCTGCAGAGGTTTATCTTGCCTTCGCTTCTGTGGAGGTTTAGTTTGCTGGAGCTTGTTAACACTTGTCTGTGCCTGGGACATTTGTTTTGCTTGATTATTAGCTTGCTGGTAGGAGTGACAGATTTTAATGCATTTCCTGATATCAAGGTCACCCTCTCTCAATAACAGTTGTTGCAGCTTGCCACTGGTACTGAATACTATTTTGTCCCTTATCATTCGGTCCTCCATTTGGCCAAATTTAAATTACATGAAGCTGCTCTGCTTTTCAGCTCAGTTACATACTGATCAATTGGTTCCACATACGGAGTAGTCCAGAATCTGTGTGATTCTACCACTTCATTTATGAGGGGGTTGCAGTACTCTTCAATCTTTCTCAGAACTTCGTCTGGGTCATTTGGGTCGCTATCACCCCATTCAAAGTGATCATATGCTTTGAGTAGTGATTCACCGCCACAGTTAATAATGGTTGCTACTTGAATTTCTTTCTCCATTTTCTTTATACCACTAGCTAGTAAGTATATTTCAATCTGTCTCTTCCAAGCTTTAAAGTTTTCGGGTACGTTACCGGTTTGCAAGTTAAGCTCTGGCGGGAGACGCAAATTGGTATTAACGTGGAGAAATGGAACTGCCGGATCGGCCTCGTTGCTTCCAGTCGCCATTTTCTCAGTAGACAGACCACGTGGAACGGCAAAGTTAATATTCTTATGTTTAAGAGAATATTATCTATCACTCACTCAGT